ATCATTTAAAATGCCATATAACCATACACTGCGTGAAATTTTCAATATCACTCCGTTCCTGGTATACACTACGTGATATTCATCACTCCGTTCCTGGTATGGAAGCCTTGTGACGATCAGCACTAACGAACACAAAGCATATATTCTTTTTCCAAAAGAAACAGAAAATCATGTAGAATGGATTTTCAAATCAATGATTGAATTGAAAAATTTTAGTATTTCAGATAAAATATACATAACTCCCAAAGGGAAGATAATTTTTTTTAAAAAAGAGACTTACGAGATCACGATATGGGTTTTAGAAACTTTGTCGATTGAGGCACAAATTTTGTTGGATTGGAATTTAAATTTCGAGTGCGTTGGGTTAAGTGATGATGAAGAATTAATAGGAATATCTGCTGGCAGTTCTGAATTACACGTAACGTATCTGTACATTTTTTCTACAACAACCGGAATGAATTTCTCAAAATGTATGTTTCGTCTAAATTTAATGTATACTGGCAATATAGCGTAATCATTAACAGTAAGCTCAAATTACAATTTGACATGTGATCACGTTATTTTGCAGTTACGATATTAATGAAATTTAAGATCAGGTTGTTAGACAATAAAATGTTTACTTATCATTATAGATACTTATAGAGAATCAGTAATGATCGATGGAATCCATTTTATTGCCTCTGAGTTTGGTGAACGTATACTTATCACATTTCATGCGTTTGATAGCTTAGAAAGGATTAAAATGGATCTTAATGTTTATAGATTTCATGATGAAAAATTGATCTTCGATTATGATTTAATGGATCCCTATAATTTAATTAATCCTATCAGTGCTGATAAACTCTTTAGGCGCTTAAAGGCTAAAATTAAACCGCCATACATAATTAAATCAGACTGCATTATTTATGGGCTATAGCACAGCGTCCGGCGTACATGTTATCAGGACCGGCACATTTCCCGATCACGCCCGTTGCACATAAGATGCGTCACACTTACGATTACCAAAATCGGCAAAATCGGAAGATCCAAATAATTGCCAAAATTGGCAACCCGATTATCAATCATATTATATTAATAATCTTCGCTTATAAACCTTTGATTATAAATATCTTTATAGCTTATTAATCATATCATTAGTAATAGCCATTAGTCATAGTTTACAAATCTAGCATTAGTAAACATTAGTTAGTAATCTTTATAGCATAGTCTTCTTGAATGTATAAATACGATAGCTTTTGACCTTTGAAA